CGGACCCCGAGTGTTGGGGGTATTCCCCAGCCGGGGCTCCGCCCCGGACCCCGAGTGTTGGGGGTATTCCCCAGCCGGGGCTCCGCCCCGGACCCCGAGTGTTGGGGGTATTTCCCAGCCGGGGCTCCGCCCCGGACCCCGAGTGTTGGGGGTATTCCCCAGCCGGGGCTCCGCCCCGGACCCCGAGTGTTGGGGGTATTCCCCAGCCGGGGCTCCGCCCCGGACCCCGGGTGTTCGGGGTATTCCCCAGCCGGGGCTCCGCCCCGGACCCCGAGTATTTTCCTTACTTAAAGACCTATTACATTTTTTGGGGGAATTTAAAATAAAACTATCGAACATACCTAAGCAGAAGAGGGACCAGGTTGAGGGTCGTCGGGGTCCGAGTCCGTTGAGGCAGGGGCGACGGCAGGGGCGACGTTTCGTCGCTCTGATTGGGGAGGGTACAGCCGAGCAGCTTCGGTGAGGAATTTGTGGAACCTCAGGTGCTTCGTGTTCTTGATGAACAAATACCGCGATAGATACTGTTGAAAGTATTGTGGCCGGTTCCCAGGACGTTTCACCCACTCCTTAACGTCCCGCCACAATCTCTCAATGTTCTGCGTGTGAATTGACCTGTCACCAGGATCCACAAACTCCTCCGAATGATTAATGACTCGATGGGTGTATCCCTCCTCGTCGAGACCAAGGTACGCTCCCCAACCGTCGCTACAAATGATGGAGCCAGGGAGAATAAATTTCTTAATCAAGGGAACGAGTGTTTCCTTGTTCCTGTTGGGAGAAAGAGGAGGGACCAAAGGAACCAAGAAAGATTTCTTAGATTCCCTCTCAATTCCTCCGAACACCCAGATGTTGCTCAGCTGCCTCCCGCGGCCGTACTTCCTCTTGCCAAAACAGGACTCGTCAATTTCTACGACGACCTCAGGTCCTCCAATTGCTTCTTGATTATTAAGCCAGTTCTGTGTAACCTCTGAGCAGAAGCTACGCCAGTCAACGCTGGTTCTCTCTGCCCAACCGAGGTTTTCAAATACAATGTGGTGGTTCCAAATTTTTTCTAAAAAAAACACAATAAAAACCACCAGATCTGAGGGAGCGACGTGAGCGTTTTCGAGGAATGTCCCCTTATAGTCACTTACAGTGAAGGAGCACTGCTTCCGCCTTTTAGTTTTTGAAATTTTTGTCCAGCGGCTGCAGAACCACCTTCCATCACGAAGCGTGCACGGTAAATTGCAATGCTTGCAAAGTACTTGCGAAGGAAGAACACCGTGATTCCGTAGAACTTCCAAGCTAGCTTCGTTATCTTCAAAATATAATTTGATAAGTTTCATGGGCTTGTTGTAACACCCATTACAAAGCGAAGCCATGGTGAGACTGACTTCGAATTTTAATTTACCAAACCGCTCTTTCTTAATATTGTCCATTGATTGGTTGCTTCCGTATCCTTTGTTTCCGCCTGTTTCCCTATTCGTGGAAAAAATAACCGCCAAACATTTAGCCAATCAAATGATGGCACTAGTCGTGACGTCACTGGAAAAATAACACGAATACTACACGTACGATTGACTCCGCGCATGCGCAGTAGCGAAATTGATCAGTTTTTCCTGAGCTCGCGAAGAGGAAAGAACAAGACTAATATATTTTATTTTTATTATTTTGAAAATTAAATAGCTTGTTTATGATTCGATTGCGAGATAAAATTATTTAAGAAAAAAGTTTAGAAAATTAAAAAACTTCACGACTGTAAGGTTAGTTTCCCTGGATTTTATGTTTACGCTTTTCTCCAATAATACCTAATTTTTTGCAGACTTGTAGATTAATAGTATTCTTTATCGTCTACAATTTTCAATAATAACTGAAACAACAAAGAAGTCAATCGTAAATTGATAACATATATAGTTATTTAATAGTTATCCTTAAATTTGATGAACCAGAAACAATTTTTAGAAACAGAAAACGAAGAGATAAAGTTATAGGGGGCACTATTATCATTGACATTTAATTTGTTTTCTTTTGAAATATAGTGGTAATATAATGGTAATCACATCCTCGTACGCCATTGGTAAAGCATCATGCAATTGATATGACGCTTCTACAGTGAATGATTAGTTTCGTGGAATATCAAATATTTTAAGACCTATTTTTTAAGATTTGTTATCGGTTCTTAGTTTTTTCAAGATGAACGGTACCAAACATTGAATTGTATATAGTGATATAAGAAGTAGTGATGATAATACAATCACCATTAATCTGAAGACCATTCATGTAATATGTAAATGGTGTATGCAGTCACATCAACAACTAACATATACTTATACCTTACTGACTAATCATATAGTATTATGATACGATAAAATATAATATGGCAATATGTTATTGATAAGGATAATCAGGACTTTATAATGTCTTAGATAGAACTTTTTATTGTGACTGATAACATCTGTAAAATCAGAGTAATGTTAACACATACCTCATCATTTGACACTGTTATAATGATCCGTAAATCTGAAAGAATATAAACTATTTCGTTATTTAGACTACCTTTACCTTTAGTTACATGTCTTGACAGTAAGTATTTGTGGCCAGTGATAAAAATGTATGTTATCATGTGGCACAGTAAACCAATAACTAGTGTCATAATTAGACTGTGAGATGTATGTTGAATCTGTTGAATGTGTCAGCTTGGTTAAGATTTAATTTATTCTTTATTTCCTGTTACATTTGCAAATAATGTATGTTGCAGTCTTGTGAATATGTACTAATAATTTTCTTTGTGTCCATAATTAGCCACCATTTCCGCCGTCGCGACATTTTTTTTTACGTGGGACGTGCTTAGGGCGTGCATTCATATTCAGACCGATCTGTGGCAAAAGTGAATGAAAATCATGATGAGAGTTATAAAGCACGTAAAACTGCATACTAACCAGGAAAGCCATACCATAATGTGCATATAAGTCGTATAGAGCAGTAATGGGGATATCTTTAAGTTTAAAAGTCCGAAAGAACTGTTGTTTTGGAGGTTGCTCCCCAGATTTGGCTATTTTTCTCCTATTCATACGAATAAGAGAACAATAGGCGAATATAATGATATTTTAAAAATAATCTAAGCTTGCATTTATATAGGCTAAAACCCCAAGTAGTGTGGAATGGTGTAGAAAAAAGCAAACTGTAAACAGGTTTTACCTCTCCAATTTTATTACATATCTAACTTTCTTTCTGTCGTGAATTATACCAAACCATATATATATATATATATATATATATATATAGATAGATAGATAGATATAGATATAGATATAGATATAGATATATCTAATCATACTTAGTACACATGGGTAAATGTTATAGATAAATATTATAGTTACCCCGTAGATTGCTCTTTCGTTTTCTATTTTTCGTTTTCCTTTGGTTTGGCACAGACTAAAACTTTCCTTCAAAAAAGAAGGGAAAAAATACGAATTAAGGATGGAATGAATATTTATTCTACGTCGCATCTACTCCCTTTTATGACAGACATTTATGATATAACACACGGAATTTTCACATCAAGGGTGATTTCAGAACCAAATTATAAGAG